ATTCATTTTTGCCCCATCCACGAGATGCAGTTGAGATTGAGAGTTAACTCAATGTTAAGGAGGTTATATTTCAGTGAAGCCTTCATCTGAAAACGGTAATGCCTACGGGGATGTCACAAGCAGAACTTTTTTCCCAGGCCTTTAGAAAGCTCTCCACAGGCGCTTTAAGAAACTATGTGAGGAATTTGTATGGAAGAATATTAACAAAACTCAGCATTCGAGTGGCAGATATCACAGAAACTACGTCGTTTTGGAAGTAATTAAAAAATCAGTTTTCTCACTGCTCCCACCAACAGATCGTAAACACAGGCACATCAACGATTGAACAAACCCGAGAGCTTGGTCTCGGGTTAGGTACCATACTCTGTATGCTGATAACTCCCATACTGATAAAACTGTACTAAAATTGGATACTGTTTTCAGTTCTTGGAGGGTTCAGGGCTACTCTCTAACTGGAATAAAATCAAGTCTTCAGCTTAGAAGACGACCACACGTGAGAGGTTGTAGGGCTTCAGAAATAAGTGAAACACCACTGAAAAATTTATAGAATTTGCACCTGGTTACCAACAGCTAGTCAGTTAATGCGAGAAGCAGCATGGTAAAGACTGTACCCAATGAATTAAAACTGCATTTAGTGTCTAGTGGATGACTTAAATATCTTGTTTTTGCTTAATGTCTTTAAAAATTCTACGGAAAATTGGCTGGAGGACTCCGATAAATAAACTGTTTTTCAACGCAACTGACTTCTGATTTTCGAAAGATGCATATCTTTAAATGATTTCTAGAACTTATAAAGAAGGTGTTGAATAGGATGGGTCTTTATACCCATGTTGGAAATCTCTAATCATTCATTATGACTGTAAGAGATTAAAGTGCACTGCTATTCAACAAATTACATACCTTCGATGGAAAGTTTTGTTTTGTAGTACTGTAAGCTTTTGGACATGCAGACTGCGTACACACCAAGGCTCCTGTCCTTATATTTCTTTAGGATATCTGGCATGAGGACGCGCTCTCCATATTCACCCTCAAACAGAACAATTTCTCCATGGCGAGTATATTCTGTAACTTGAATTCTAACTGGCACGTGATGCTCCTCCGGACGTTCATACATGAAACCATGCTTGGTAAGTCGTTGAGCATATATGCTACAGCCACGTATGACGTCATTCATCTTGTAGGTGGTTTGATTGGGCGTCAGTCTTGGATAACGCCCAGCAAGGTAATCGGTTTCTTGGCATCTGACGATGCTGAAAATATGCAAACAAAGAAAAAGCCACCACATCTTATCAGGCGCTGGGCTAGAGTTTAACATGAAACCCAGACACTAGAGTAGTGATTCAAAAAATCAAATTATCGATCTTCGCCTGATGCATCGATTTGGGCAAATGCGGCGTCTTTTTGCTTAAGGCACATTTACCTAGGGTAGCGCACCGACAAAACAGGGGACTGAAGCATTCTGTTCCCATAATAAGTTGAGCAAAAAAGCAATAAATAACTGGATTTAGAATCACCAAAAACATTTCGCGGTGCTCTATCAGCTTCCTCCTGGCACCTCATAA